AAAAAAAAAAACGAATATCTTCACGACGCCAAGATAGATCTGAAAGAGAGCGGTTAGAGAATTTTATCGCGGCAGGGTGGCAGTTGGAGGATTAGAGAAATCAGGAAAAATAGGGGAGATATTTGGGGAAGACTCACAGTAAAGGCAATTTCACTGAACACTGCTTTTATTCGGCAGTTACAACCACGAGACCGTACACGTTCGACTTCCGACAAAAGACTCCGCTACCGTCTTCTAGAGTCCTAGATTATCAGAGAAGCGCGACCGGCTTATGGCAGTATCGCAAAAGTACTAGAAAATATTAAAAATGGCGTCGAATGGCCAATCATAAGATTGATTTATTCGGCAGCCATTTATAATAGCGATAAATCAATCTTATGATTGGCCATTTGCGAGTCCAATCAGGACTCGTAACACCGGTCGCGCTTCTCTGATAATCTAGGACTCTACCGTCTTCTCGTAGCAACGGCATCATCGCGATCGCTCGCGAGCGCCAATCAGAGCGTGCCCAGGGCTCGCGCGGCCCGCTGCGCAGACGCAGTAGAGCAACCGTTCGGCTCCGCCAATCGCTAAGCGGTCTTTAAGCCCGTATCAGACTAAAGATTGAGATTGAGATTGAATTGGAATTTAACCAATTAGAAGAAAGAAAACTAATCTCAAATTTAGTGAACTTTGTTTTAATTGATAAAATTCCATTCTAATCTTATAGCGTTTTCGATTTGTTGACTCGATCCGACTCCGAGATAAAATAGTCTGTTCTTTTTAGCGTTTCTTGTATACTTTAACTATTTTTTTATAGCTAAAAAGAACAGACCATCGACTCGGAGTCGGATCGAGTCAACAAATCGAAAACGCTATTAATCTCAATCTCCAATGCGTAGTCTGATACCGGCTTTACGTAGAGTCCTAGAATACAGAGATGCGACCATAGAACTTACAGTACATGGAAGGGGAATGGGAACCGAATAGTGTCAAATGGAAGTGAGAAAGAAAACTATACTCCTCTCTCTCACTCAGTTGATTTTTAAAAATGCGCATGCGCGTCGTTCCCGCTACCTCACTTTTGGGCCAAACAAAAAGGTGCACACGCAGGCCGCGCATGCGTAATTGCGAAAATCAACATCGCAAGAA